GGGAGAAACTAGTTGAGATGTCTTACAGTAAATAACTGCTACAGGTAACAAAGGGTTATTTCTCCCTTTTGATTGTATTCTTCCACTGGGTGTTTAAAACTAAATTAAAAGGAGACCTGTGTTAACCACAACTGACCTCTTGCTATCCAGTTTAGGTAAGCTTCTTTAGACATTACTCTGGAAACCATGTGCGGAGCCTCTCAACTCCACTGTCAGTGTCAGCTGGTAGGATGGGTCATTATGGTCTTGCTTAATCATGTTGCTTTCTGTGAAAGCATAGGAGATTTTCCTCTCTTGATTACCATCCTGTGGCACATTGTGTATTTGTCCCCTCAGGTCTAGTAGATCACATTGTGTGATCTCTGTCCCCTAGTAGTTTTCCTGCTTAGGAGATGGGGTGACTCATCAAAATTGTAGGGTCTTGTAGGAAAGATTCTTTGATGTCCTGGGTTTCTGCTGACCTTGGAGGGCCTGAGCCAAAATATTGGCTGCATTTTATTTTATTTTATTTTTATCCCAGTTATTTCTCTAGCTGTAGTCTCTAAACTTTAGTTGCTGAATACTTAGAAGAGAAGATTAGTATCAGTATATCACTTTTAACAGATGTAAAGCATAAGAATAAATAGCTTTTTGATAGCTTTTGTTCCCTGTTGTAAGCTTTGTTGACTTAACCTCCTGGAGGGAAGAGCCATTTTTAATTGAGGGGTTTAAAGTTAACTTTTGGTGAGTTGAGAAAAATAAGACTTTTAAGAGTCTGAAGAGAAAGAGTTCAGATGGTGTCTGACCTGGGAGATGTCTGACAGACAGGAACATGGACTCAGAAATTGTAGTCTGGATCAGGTGTGCAGTTCACTGATGTAGCCATACTGCAGTTGCAATGTGGTGGCTGCAGAGGTTGCAGAGGTTAGGGTGGCAAGGTGTGAGGTGGCTAGGGTGCCATGGCTGTCAATATGATAGCAGGTGCAGCCATGTAGGTCTGTTGGCAGGGGTGGGGCAACGGGGTTGTACCATGTAAGCCCATGTCTCCTTACCCAGCCTGGGCTCTGGCACTCATGCAGATGGCCTGCTGGGTGTGTAGGTGCTGTGGTCTCAGTGTACGTATGAGTGCTGCTTGGACCTTGGTCCCTATGGCAGTGCCATGTGCCTGCTATGCTATGTTGCTAGTGCTGTAAGGGCAGTAAAGAGGCATTGGCCAGGGCAGGCTGTGCATCCCAGGTGCTGGTACTTGGTGCTAGGTCCATGCAGCCCTAAACCCCTGAACCAGGACGGGAACAGGATGGATTGGCTGGTTTAACCCACCAGGATGTGTTTCTAGGTGAATGTGGCAGTGGTAGGGAGTCAGGCAGCAGAAATGTCAGTGAAGAATTGGCAAGGAGGGAAGTGGAGGGAGGATGGAGGGAAGCAGAGGGAACAGGGATGGAAGGGAAAGGAGGAGAAAAACTGGTTTATAATGTATTAGTAGAGGGAGAAAAGTCTAGACCTGTAATTTGACTCTTGACAGAGACTTCAGAGAGAGTTCTAGCAGCATAGTTTCAGGTCACTCTGAGATGGGATACTTGGTGATCACAGAAAGGGTTATGTTTCACCTGGCTTGAGGAATGCAGGTGGAAAAATAGGTAAGTGGAGGTTGTCTCCTGATTACCCACTCAGTGCTGTCAAGATCTAGCTTCCACTGAAGGATGTTTGGGTCCACTGGAGAGCTGCCCCAGCCGTTAGCCCTTAGCTATCCTTTCAGTGTTTGCCACATCTGCCCAAGTCAAGATCTGCCTCCTGAGAGGAGCTCAGTTGCCCATCTGGTCAGTATTCCATTGGTCATGGGGCTTCACCAAGGGGTACTTGAGAGATTTGTCCTCTGCTCTGAGGGTGGCAGCTACCCTAAAGGTGATGAGCATCTGGGAAACCGACTGCTGTTTAGGGACAGAGGAAAGCCTGAGCTAAATACAGATAGGATTTTATATCAAAGTCTATTAGAGGGTGCTCTAACATTACTGTTCCTCAGCACTCAGGGAAGACTAAAAACGATAGCCACCGCAAGTTAGATAGGTCAAGTGAGTCTGAACATACTGTGCATGAAACAGGAATGTAAGACCTTGTCACCCAATGGAGAATACTCCTTTAAAGGAACATCATAATGATTTTACAAAGGGGTTTAAACTAAAGGCATAAAGTAATTTATAAAAGGCATAAACAGCGGCAAACAAGGATGACAGTTATGATTACCTAATTGATTCAATCAAGAAATAAAATTATCTCATACAAAATGGGAAAATTGAAAGTACTGTGCTCTGATTGCTGAGAGTCTCTGTCTAGCGGCCACCCTGACCATGCCATGTCACAGAAAAGGACAGATGTTTGGGCTTCAGATCTGGAGAGAGGGGAAGAGGTTTGAAATCTTGCAGGAGACATGGCTGGGGGAAACGTGGGAGAACAGAAGATGGATGATTCCCAGTTGTAGTACAGAGACAGGTGTGAGAGAGTAGCAGGGTCTTTTTGGTGGGTATTTCTGATTGAGACTCACAGGGCTAAAACATGAGTGACTGAGCAGGGCAAACATCTCTGCAGCTGGTCAGATGCCCAAGGGCAGCAGTCACCAGTGCTGCAGTTTAAGAAGCACAAGAAGCAGGATGAGTCTCTTTGAGTCTTTCTGAGGTAGAGTAAAAGGCAGGCATGGAGACAGGAAGAGGGAGCGAGAAATGGGGGGCTCAGGCCAGTGAGATCTGGGACAGCAGAGATAGCAGGACCTGTAGGAACCTAGCATTGAGGATGGTGCTGGGTGGTTTCAGCTGAGGCAGAGGTTCAAGAGAGCTTACAGCCCTCTGGAGAGAGCCTGGCTCCCTGTCAGGTTTTGGCACCAAAAATAAGGAATGATGTGAGTTAGTCTGGCAGAAAACGTCAGGCTTGTGTAAAGGCACCCTGGGGTAAACTGGGTTTTTGTGCTTGGGTGCAGGCAGACAGGGCAAAAAGGGAACAAAGGGAAGCAACCATCTTTATGGTGCTTGAAAGAAGGCAAGAAACATTAGGTGTAAAGATCTTAGTAAACATCAGTGGTGGGCAGTTCTCTAAATGACTGGTGTCTCAGTGGGCAAAGTCCTTGAAGTGTCTCGTATAAGTGTTTGGATGTCAGGGGCCTGGTGCTGGAGACTCCATGGACCATGTTTTATAAAATCCTGTGTTGTTGAGGGTAGCACAGGTGCTGAGCAGTGTCTTCACTGACAGTGAGGCCCCTGCTGCTGACATGCAGTTTGGGTGCTGGGAGATTCATGCCCAAGTCAAGACTGACAGGAACCATGGGTTCCTTCCAAGTGTCCTGCAAGCCTTCCACAGACAGGCATGTTTGCTTATTTATTGCTTTTGGAACTGCAAGTTTACATGTATCTGAGACAGTAAGAGTAGAGGGTTCAGAGTCTGGGGAGCTGCCTGGATTTAGGTGCCAGCCTTCTAGAGTTCAAATCCTTGCTTCTCTGTTTGTGAGATACATGTGTAGGGCAGGGTTAACCTTCCCAGCCAGAGTTTCTTCCTCTGAAAATGACACTCACAAGTAGTGCCCATCCCGCCCATCCAGGGTTGCTACAGCAAATAGGTGAGTGTAGGTAGGAGTTTGGAGTGTGGCCAGCACATTGGGTGAGCTGAATGGTTGGTGTTATGAAAGCCAATTAAAATAAAATAACTTTGTTAGAAATTCATTTAAACATAAAATTTGTTTGCTGTACTTGTGGTTCCTAGAGGAGGTGTTATGTTTATAGCTGTTTATTTTATATGTGTAGGTGGTTGCTTCTTTTTGCTGACCTTTCAGTCTCCTGTTGCCGGACAGTGCACTCCCCATCACCAGCTACCAAAATAAGTGGAAGCCACATGATGACACCGCTCCTGTCACCTCATGCATCTGCTTTCTCAGATGCAGAAACTCCCTTCTCATTGCTTCTTTCTCATTTTAATTCCTTTGAATGCTCTTTATTTTAAAATTCCAAAAGTGTAACACTTGGCTGTTTGCAGATCATGTTTTGACTAATATTATGTCACGTGTTCTTCTCAACTGTTCTATTAACGGAAGGCTCATATCTCAGATTTTGATCCAGTCGTCTGTCTTGAATTTTTTTTAAGTTCTCTCCTTACCCAGGTTAAATTACATGGAGAATTGTTTTAACAATATTTTTGTTTGTACCTTCTTGAACTTGTGTTTTTATCGTCGATAGAAAGCCTCTACTTCTAGGTCACACCAAGTAGGTGCTTGCCATGGATCCAGATCTGAGCAGCTGTGTACTGCTGGAGCAGTTTGTGGGATCCCTATGTTTCTGATCCTCCTCACAAACGTGTCCTCAGGACAGCCTGGTGATCCTGCTGCCTCCCCTGTCAGTGTACTGTCCATTTCCACGGTCCTTTAACATCATCAGTTCTGTTCATTTCCTGATTCTACCTGTGCCCCCAAACTTGGACGTGACCTCCTCTTACACTGCCCTTCCTGAAAACCTGTCCTTCTTTTTTGTTACCTCAGGAAGAGAAACCAGCCCTCTTATGACTCAGACCCTGACCTCCCTATGTGCTCTGTTCTCTCGACTTTTACACGCTTATTCAGCCTTCTCTCTTACCAGTGTCTTTTCCTGCTAGCTTTGAAGCATGACAGAGTTTCTCCCAGTTCAGAAACAAACCAAAACTGAAGTACAAACCCCTCAGGGCACCATCGATGCATCTTTGTCTTGCGGTTAATTTTGCTGTGAATTTTAATGTACACGAAAATACTCTGTAAAATAGCAAAACTCAGCAGGAACCCAAAGCACTGAGGACAAGCCTTTGAGGGCAGCAGTGTGCAGAGCATTATTGCTCCAGCCAGGGCCACTGGGCATTTGCTGTCTGAGCAGTAGGTGGCTGAGGAAAGGACACTTGTGACTTGGTCACCCTGCAGATCATCACCAAAAACTTTGTTTTGCACAGTTTGATCAGCTCTGTTTCCCTACAGTCAGTGTCAGATCAAAGTGAATTTAAAATAAATCCCAAAAGGTTCATGTTTTTCATGACATTTTATTGAACCAAAGTTACCATGAAGATGAAAATTGCTAAATTTATGAGTGCTACAGGGTCATTTTCCCATGTTTTCGCATTGCAGATGTGCATTTGTGGTGAGTGTCTAGAGACAGCGATTGGCTTGACAGTCATGATGACCATGAACAGGATTTGAAATACATGTAAAAATTAATGGTCACTGGAGAATAAGAGCCAGCTTTTAAGAAGTTTCTGCAGAGTAGATCCACTTCCTGCTGTCTAACAGAGTCCCTTTCTTTTGGTTAAAAGAAATAAGGTGGGTAGCTGTCACTTCCTGGGAGAGGTAGGGCACACTGGTGCACCACATGTTTGGTTGCATATACATTTGGAATAACCGGAACACACTAGAAAGCACAAAGAAAGATAAGTCATGTTGTTAGTGCAGCCTTGCTCAGCATTGACACCCCCCCCATCAGAGTAAGGACTGGGAGTGCCCAGAGGAGCACACAGTGGGAAGCCTTGGACCTGCATGCGTCTGAGATGCAGCAAACTCACATCTGCATCTGTCCAGCACATGCTCAGTTATTTGACAGAGAGCCCAACTTACCCTGCAGGAGTTTCTGATGGCTTGGGCGGCAAAATAGATACTAGAAAACGCTATGCTGAATTCCAGGAGAGAGAAGAGCAGCAGCGTGCCTGAGATCCCTTTCCTGGATACCTGAAACCAGAAAGGTCTCATCCCACGGGCCTGTGCCGTGCTTTCCTTGCTTCACGCTGGTTTCTCCATTATCGTTAGATGCTTATTTCATACGAATACAAATTTATTTTGAATTTTCTTTAAAATACCAGAAGAATTTCTTTTCTGCCTAGTAGAGTGTTCTATTAGAAATATCAGAAAATCAGATTTTTTCTTTGCATTAGTTTTCTTGTATTTATTAAAATATTACTCTTTAAATGTAAAGCAAATAACACGGGAACTAAGAAATCATTTCAAATGTTATTGCCCCAAAACATTCAGAATTGATATTGATTCCCGTATTCTAGGTCCCTGGGCATGGGCACCAGGCAGAATGCAGAATGGATCCACGAGTGGCAGCAAGGAAGGGAAAAACAGCGTGAGTGAGACATAGTAACTTCCTTTACAATGGGAAACTCGAATTACATTTGCATGCTATAAAGAGGAGAGAAAGACACTGTATTCAGTTAAATAGGCTAATGTTTAGGAAGCCATGTTTTGCAGCCAGGCATGAGGTTGTCCCTTTGTCATTTAGCACTCTGAGCTAGGAGGACATCAAACTTGAGCCCAGCCCAGAACACCTAGTGACTTACTGAGACCATACCTCAATAGTAAAACTAGAAAGAGCCAGGATAGCTCGGTGTAAGGTGCTAGGCTCAGTCCCTGGTGCCATTCCTCCATTGCCACCCACAAATATTCATGAAACCCATAAGGGAGCTGAAGTCACTGTGAACCTTTAGGTTTCAGTTGTAGACAGTATTCAGTGGCTGTTCATTGTGAGAAGAGCAGGCGAGTGGCACTCATCCTTTTCATCTTGCTTTGGCTCTTCTTACCTCCTTGCTTTTGGTGACTGTGTCTGTTTTTCTTCTTTACTATTTTAGGGGTGAGACATGAGATCCTTATATTTAGTTCCAGAACTCTTCCATCTCAGTTGACTCCTTCCATGGCTTAGAGCTTGCCCAGCAGTCTTTTCCCAAGGTTCCCTCTGCCTTGTGGGACTCTGGATTAAAATTAACTGATTTACAGCTGAATGGTGCATTAAATTTTAAAAACACGAATGCCCATAAGTTGCCTTGTTTTACAGAGAACATCTTGTGTCCTTGTAGCTTGCACACACATTTGATTGATGTGATATTCTGGCATCAAGATTTCTTGTGATGAAAACTTTAAAAAATATTGCCCTGTTGTCTTCCCTCACTGAAACTTCCTGTGCTGAAGACGGAGCACAAATGACTTTTTCCAAGCTTATAGGTAATTTGACTTTCTCCTTAGAAGTTCATTTTGTTTAGTGTTTTCATTTTTTGAGGCAGGGTCCCACTGTACTTTGGTTGACCTTGGAATCACTATTAGCCCAGACTGGCCTAGAACTCATGGTTATCCTCTTGCCTCTGTCTCCCTATTGCTGTGATTACAAGTGTGCCCCACCATGCCCAGGCTGTACCTAGAACTTTAAAGAATTATTTGTGTCTTATCCTTCACAGAGCACTGTCTCTCTGTTTCCCTTCTTACCTATGTACCTCCCTACCTGCCTGTGTGCCCACTTCCCTCCCTCTCCCCTGAGCATCCACTGAGTGCCTGGTATCAAGCGCTGCTCAGGGACACAGGTGTTTTCTGTCCCTCTGGTTTCTGCTGCTTCGTGTACATCAGCAAGCTGCTCTGGACACTGGACTCACGTCACCTGCTCCTTCTCTTGAGCAACAGACTGCCATGCAAGGTCTCCAACCACTGAGCTCTTCCTGACCTCTTCCTCAGTCTGCTGAGCTCCAGCAGGGGAGAGTGGGTGCAGCTTTCTTCTTCCCTCAGTCTGGTTTCTGGCGTCCAGGGCCAGGGCCAGCAGCTGTATTGCCAGCCACCCCTGAGTCCCTTCACATTACTTCTCTGTGGGGTGCCATGTTAGAAACTCACTTTGGATACATTTTGGATACATTTTGTTCATTTGATGTGACACAGAAATTGTATGTTCTCACAAAGCTCCACCTGATTTACCCAGAGCTTTTGTGTTCTGATCAAGACACAGATTGGCCCCCAAGGCTGTGTGCCCGGTGCTTGATCTGGGCTTCCATGGTAGGGTGCACATAAGGATGTGGGGGAGGTTTAGAGTGGGACCAGGTGAGAGGCAGTGGTGGTGAGCACTGGTGGAGGGGTTAGTGCTGGTCTCCTGGGCGGGTAGAGCTTTCAGGAGTGGGCTCACTCCCACAGCAGCAGATGTGCATAGAAGAGTGAGCCCGCCTCCTTCCTGCTGTCTCCTTCTGTTTCTATAGGGCTTTGCTCTGCTCTCTGAAGGAAAAGGAAGACCTGTGCATGGCCATGGAATCAAGATGGCCACCCATGGTTCCTACTGCATTCTGCTTCCCTGTGCATGGCTGTCTTGCTGGGCACAGGCTGGGGCTTTTCTCCCACGTCACAGTTGTTGCTTGGCCTAAATGGTGATGATGAAAAGGTACCTGAGTGTCCACAGATTCAGAGCCCCTCACTGCACTCTGCTTTCCCTCATTCTTTGCACATCTCTAGTAAAACAGTGTCCTTGTCACTGCCATTTTCCTTTCATCCAGTCCTTCATCTAAAAGTAAAATACCACGGAGTCTCTTCAGTATCTGATTTATTTAAAATTTCAAATATTTACAGAAATAATTGCAGGAATTCTTTCTGGTTGGGAACCCCAAATTCATAGTGGCTAACTTTGCATACTTTTCAAAGGGATAAATGAAGGCTGGGGACCTCCTATTATCTCTTTAGGCACTGGCTATCCTCTCTCATCCACTAAGACTAACACTAAGAGCACTAGATCAAGAAATACTCCAGGCCAGTTCCTTCTTAGCATAGCATTCTCTCTGATCTCTTGAGTCCTTGCAAGGTATCCATTGCCTGCTGAATCACAGACCTCCAAGTCTTCTGCCAGCCTTGAGTCTTCTGCTAATCCCTCCTGTTGTGGAACATACCCAGTACCTAGTGGCTGGCTTGGAGTGCCTTTGTCTCTGCCTTTGCTGAGATACTGACCTTCCAGCACCGCTTCATGTACTGATAAATTGTCTCCATTCTTTCACTGTACCCTCACACAGGCGCTTGGTCTTGCCCAGGTCTTGGCAGCCTATCCCAGCCTTTCCCCATTGTTCAGATGACTCACAGTGGCGTGGACAGTAAGGGAGCACCTGTCAGCCCTAAGCCACTACAGGGGTTACTCTCCCTGCAGCATGTTTCTGGATAAGGGTGGAATAGAAAAAAGGATTTTCCTGGAGTTCTTATGCAGCAATTGGAGATAAAGGTAGATTCACTCTGTGGGGTTGAGGAGAGAGAGAGCAGACATGTAGCAAGTAGGGGAACTCACCAAAGCCCAGTAGACTTGTTGGTAATTGTTGGACAGATCCATCACCAGCAGGATCACCCCAATCATGGAAACCATGCAGCTCATGCTATTCATTCCCAGGCTGCCTTTTAGCTAGTAGAGACAGTAGGAAAAACAAATGGGGTAGAAGGTAAAAAAAATAAGAATCAGTGAGAGTTTATTGTTTTTAATCTTTGCTATCTTGAAACAGTTTTTGAAGTCAAAGTGACTTTCCTTTGTACCCCTCCATGTAGTTACCATAAAATATTATGCAAATAAGATGTCAGACATTTTCAAAAACTGTAGAAAAATATAAATCATACAAGGCAGAAGCTCATCTCATATTAATATGAAAGTTTCATATATAAAACATATCTTTCCTTTTTTAAGACAGAGAAAGAACATGTAGAGTTTTCTCTCTGTTGTTTTGGAACTGGGGACTGAGCTATGTCTCCAGCCCTTTTTAGTTGTTGAGGTAGGGTGTCTCTGTGTTACCTAAGGTGACCTCAAGTTTGTAGTCCTCCTACCTCAGCCTTCTGAAATAAGCTTTTAATGGGCATTATTCTGTGTCAGTAACTATGTTAAAAATTTCAAATACCTCGCTGTTTAGGATTTAGAGCACTTCATTATTTTAGTGTGGTTCTGCCTGGAAGAGTAAGAGTAACATAGGTCTGTGTTCCCCCCTGTACATTCTCTCCACTAATGCATTATTACACATAATCTTGGAATCACCTGTTGTCTAGTTTTTGACAAATCATTTTCTTTTTCCTGGTGTGTAATTGACCCATAAGATTGCTCCAGGTGGGTGTTAGGCTGAGAATTGAAGCCCTGTCTCAGTGATTTGTTAAGCTCTTCTTACGTTGTAAGCTAGATTCTCTCAGTAGTGAATTAGAGAATGGCTGACAAAACCCAGTCTGAATTAGATCTGACAATGTTTGCTAATAAAATATGTCAAACACACTCCTGAGACTTTGTCAGTACATTGGGCTACAGGTGCTTCCTGGCTCCTGGATTCTTCTGGAACCAGACCCATTAGGTTAAAGCTTGAACCGCCCTGAGCTCCACAGCTTCCTGGCCTGTGAGTCCAGGGCTTATGGCCCAGAGCTGGCACTTCTGAGTGGTACATGGTGAGGAGGACCACTCCCCCACCAGCACACAGGTCTGGGGGCAACCGGCAGGTGCTTTAGGGGACAGCGTGTCCATCCTGTGTTCTACCTCCCCCTTCCTGATCTGCCTCCCCATAAGTTAAATTCACAGTACAAGGGGTTTAAGGAGTGAAACATTCTTACCAGACATGGAGAATGTTTCAGGAATGCTGATATGGTGATTGCACCAGAAATAATGAACTGCAGAAATAGACAAAATTATGGGTGAGATGGAGGGTTCTCGAATTGTGCCTGAGATATCTCATCAGGAGGGTAATCTGTATTCATCTGTTTTCTGTCTCTAAACCTAGAGACATTCTCTGGAATGTCTCAGTTTTCTAGAGTAGCTCTCAGGTGTGTGTGGGTATTTTTTTTTTTTTTTTGTAACCGGAATTGAACTCATGACCTTGTGCTTGCCAGGCAGGCACTTATGCCCCTGAGCTAAATACCTGGTTTCAGGGTATATCTTGAATTTTCCTTTTTTCCTCTTTGGATTCTTACATATGAAGAATTCATTGTCCTTAAGCTTTTCCTGTTCTGATTGAAGACTGAGTTTCCTACTCAATCTTGTCTCCTTAGCAATTGTATTTTTTTTTTGTTTTTAAAAAAAATTTTTTCAGTGCTGGGGGTTGAGGCAGCTAAGCTCTCTATCATGAAAGACACAGAGATGCACTTTCAACCCCAATTGCATATTTTCCATCATATTTACAGACCCCTCCTGCAGCCAGTGCATACCTTTCCATCTGAATGTCACAGCCAACTAGAATTTGGGCTTAATTATTTAGTGAGATTAAATGCGAGTGGATAGGTTTTAGCTGCAAGCTTAAAAAAGCTTAAAACAAGGAACTAAAGGTCCTCCTGTGCAGGCCCAGTGAGTGCTGTAATTTCTGTGAGTTCTCCAGCACTCAGACCCAGGGCTTATCTGGACCTGAGTTGGGAGTTGGGTGCTGGTGTATGGACTTGGCAGGGAGACATGTCCTCACTGTCTACTCACACAGAATCCACCCCAGAAGTGGTATCCAGTGACAACAGAGAGGGAGGTGAACCCTCTAGATTCATCATCAAAATTATAATTCAGTAGAGCCAGAGTAATTCCAAACCCAGCGTGCATGATTCCAATCACAATCTGGATCCCCTAAAAGAAGAAAACAAGCATTTAAATATTGCTTCTCTGTTTTAGCCCATGAAACAACTGTGCATATTCTGTTTTTTCCAGACATCATTTCTAGCACCGGAGGGACCTGTAAGATTTCCACACACAGTGGAGCAACTGGGCAGCCATGGCCTCAGGAGGAAGGCTTGTTTGAGGGGTTTCTCCATGTGGCCCGAGGAGAAGGCTCCAGAAACTCGGTGGCATAACGTCCAATACAGTCTTCTTGGATTTTCTAACAGACTCTTAACTTATTTATGCTTCAAATGTCTCATATAAGTGAAGGCATGTTTGACCTGTGTCTGGTTTATTTCTCTTAGCATCATGATCCAAAGGCACATCCATTTTCTAGAAGTGCCTCAAATCTATCTGTCTGGCAAAGCAGAAGTGTATTGTGTTCATATGCCATGTTTTCTTTACCATTTATCTGTCAGTGGACATGTAGGCTCCTTCTATGATGTAGCTAATGTGGACTTACACTGCTATAAATATGGTTATGCATATTTCTGTATGTCATAGTGTGTGCTTAACTGTTTGAGGAAGATACTCATAAGAGGGATGGCTCTTTGTGTCAGTAGAATTTCTATTCTTTTTTTTTTCATACTGGGGATTTAACTTATGATCTTGCATTTGCCAGGCAGGTGCTTACACCACTGAGCTAAATCCCTGGCCCCTTCTATTCTTCGTTTTTTCAGGAATATGTATACTGATTTTTGTAGTGGCTGTACTAGTTTACATTCACACCGGCATTACAGAAGCACTCATTCCCTCCCCCCCCACAACTTTATTGCATTTGTTGTTTTTTGAGGTCTTGGAGATGCCATTCTTCCCGGAGGAAGATAAAATCTTTGTATTGTTTTAATTTGTATTGCTCTAGTAGCCAAATTTCCTGAACATTTTTCATGCACTTACTGTCCATTTGTACTTCTTCTGAAAAGTGTTTATTCATTGAAGTTGTTGATTTTTTGACTGGATCTTTTTATTTAAGTAGCTGTTTTATGAAATTAAATTGAATAAAATTTAAAAAGCACAGTCTTATAAATAAATAACAGTATGAGATGAATAATTTTTGGGTAATGAAGTTCCTCAACACTGTCATAAAAGCTATGTACCTTCCCCCTGAGGAATTATTCTCAAACATCCTTGCATACACACGATGAGCTTCTCTGGACCGATAACCTCTCAGTTAAGCATGTGGTTGAAGAGCTACTGTGTCAGACTTCATGTCTGGCCTTCACAAGCTCTTCAAGTCAAGAGTTCAGTCATCTGGCCACAAATATCCCATCCTCCTTTTCCTCATCATTTCAATGCCCAGCAGTTAGATCTCATAGCCAGCAGGCTATGCTTTTGCTGATCAAAGTTGCTGTTGATTTAACCATTTGTACCTCCAGTGTGTTCTGCATTCTACCGCAGAACCACTTCATGCTCTGAGGTGCTCTGTGTCCCCGTCCCTGCTGGGATACTCTTGTCATAGTGGCTCCTGTGACATAACTGTTTTTGGAGAGGAACCCACTCCCGCCCACTTTGGCTTTTATAGAACTTCACTGTCCCTCAAAGCATCTTGTCACAAGCATCTCTGGCCTCAGGTAGAATATTCTAGTGTGGGATGTTTCCTCACTCATATCAGAATAAATCTCCTGTTCCCCAGGCCTTACCTGCCTGCCCCTGCCATCCTCTGTGCCCCCTGCTCTTCTCTCCGTCTTGCATTGGGGATGAGGTACAGTTCAGACCTGAGTCATCCGATACCCAACCTGTCTGCCAGTGAGGCACTGTCCTCAGCTCAACACCCTTGCCTTCAGCAAACACAGGGTGTTCTAAAAGAGGTAAGAGAGAGCACAGGGACATCGGAAGCCACCCAAACATTCACACTAGACACCTCAAGGACTCCGCCCACTGAGGCATGAGACACCCAGAGGACTTTGACCACTGATGTTTATTGAGGTCACCCTGCCTATGCCTCTGGCCTTCTTTGGAGCCCCACAAGAAGGTCCTGCTTCTTTTTGCTCCCTACAGATGAGCTTTCTGCCCTCTGCTTGCCCACACCCAGGCACAGTATGCCATGTTGCCTTTCCATAAGCCTGATGGTCTTGCCTGGTCTCTGCCTTCCTTGTCTCATGTCTTACATTAGGAGCACAAACCCAGGAGGAAGTCAGGCTCTCTCCAGAGGGCTGTAAGTTCTCTTGAACCTCCTCCCCAGCTGAGACTACCCAGCAGCATCCTCAGAATGGTTCCTACAGCTCCTGCCACCTCTGCAATCCCAGATCTCACTGGGCATTTGGGATTGGGTAATCTCCTCAGTCCCTGTTTTCATGCCTGCCTTTTACTCTGACCCATAAAGTCACAGAGAGGCTCATCCTGTTTCTCATGCTTTTTAAGCTGCAGCACTGCTCTCAAATAGCACTCCCAGGAAGGCTGCTTCCTGTTAGTGTATGACCAGCTGCAAAGATGTTTGCCCTGCTCAGTTGCTCTTGTTTACAGCTTCAGTCTTGCTTGGAGAGGTCCACTAGAAATCTGGTCGGTCTCCCACACACATTTCTCTGCTCCAGTGGGAACCATGCCTCTTCTATCACCCTCTGTCCCCCAAGCCTGTCTCCCACAGAGTCTCCAATCTCTCCTCTTCTCTCCATCTGAAGCCTGTAACAGGGCATGGCCAAATCTCGACTAGACAAGACCAGAGCATGATATTTTTGATTTTCTATTTTGCAAACTAACACATGAGTAATAGATGAGTGGTTTTATTTCTTAATTGCTGAGTTATATTAGGTAATCATAACTGTCATACTTGTTTGCAATTGCTTATGCCTTTTATAAATCACTGTATGATGTTTCTTTAAAGAGGTGTGTCCCTGCTGTGGACCAGGTCTTGAATTCCTGTTTTATATATGTTCCATTTAGATTCACTTGAACTGTTTGATTTGTGACTGCTACCTTTTAAAATCTTTAGACAGCGCTAAGGAGGAGCTATGTTAGCCCGCCATCTAGTGGAGTTTGAAATAATTCTGTAGAATAGGTCTTTCTATAAAATCTTGTCTATATTCAGCTCAGGCTTTTGTCTGTCCTTTATAGAATGCTAAAACCAAGCAGTGGTTACTCTTCCAACTAGCATCTGTCTTTAGGGCTGCTGTCATTTTCAAAGCAGAGGACATACTTCTCCAGTACCCCTGGTGAGTCCGAACTGACACCAGTGGCCAATGGAGTACTTACCACGTGGATAACTGGATTCCTTTCTGAGAGACAGATCTCTGACTACGTGGAGCTAGTGAAAACAGAAAGGGCAACAGAGGGGTCATGGCTGGGGCAGCTCTCCAGCAGATACCCAGAGGTCCCTCAGTGGAAGCCAGCTCCTGAGAGCCCTGAATCAGCAGAAAAATTTCCACATGTCTGTCATTTCACCTGCCTTCCTCAGGAAGATAAAAGATAACACTTTCAGTGATCCTCACTTTCAGGTAACCTCTGTCCTTCTGTTCCACCTTCTGTCAGACCTCTTTCAGGTCAGTCAGAGTCTGAGTTCTTTCACTTCAGACTCTTAAAACTCTAGTTTTCCTCCAACTTGCCAAAAGTTAACTTTTAACCCCCTGATTAAAGACTGCTCTTCCCCCCAGGAGGTTAAATTAACAAAGTTTAGAACAACTTGTTTGCCTTTTAACAGTAGGCAACAGCTATCCAGAAACAATTTACACTTATGCTTCCTAACTGAGAGTGATCTAAGTAATCTTCTGGGTGTTGAACAACTAAAGTTTAGAGACTAGAACTAGAGAGATGTCTGGGCTAAGTGAACAGCTAATATTTTGACCCTGGCCTTCTAAGGTCAGAGAGCCTGGACATGATAAAATCTTTTCTATAGGATCCTACAACTCTGGTGAGACACTCAGTCTCCCTGTGCTAGACCCCAGACAACAGACATCTACAAAGCTGTGCAGTGTGCCCAATGAGGGTCACCTAGGAAAAAAGTCTGTCAAGCAAAAGCATCACCATCCTGGCAGCTGACACAGATAGAGGAGCTGAGAGGCTCTGCATGTGGTTCCAAGAGCAGTGCCTAAGGAGGCTTACCCAACCATGATACACAGCAAGAGGTCAATTTTGGATAACACAGGTCTGGTTTTAACTTGGTCTTAAATACCTAGCAAAAAATATAATTAAAAAGATAGCTAATCCATTGTCATCTGTCTATATGCCCTCCAAAATTGCAGTTATTCCATGTAAAAGACATCTTGATTGGTCTCTCCCTCACCTAAATTAAAAGAAAAATTAATAAGGCAAGTTTTCCTCTGAAATCAGATGACCTTAAACATTGTAACAACAGCAGAAGAGGTACTTTGTGCCATTATAAAAACTTGATGCTGTATATACTTTCCTGATCCTTCTGATATCTCTTCAGCTCTTCAAGATAATAGATGATGGGTAAGGCCATATTAGATTCTAAAATTACCCAGACCTTCCCCTTGTCCTCTTTATAGATGGCTATTACCAAGTCTTTCTAGTAAAAATTTGTGGGTTATATTCATGATAGTCTGTTTGATTTTATTGTTTGGCCTATAGGTAACTATTTCTTTGGCTTTGTCTATACCACGACTGTGACCAGAGATACATCAGTTAAAAGCCAGGCCTAAAGATAAATAACAAAAACCAGGCCTGCAGACTCCTCAAGGAGTGAGATAAATGATAACACCCCATCTAATAAAATCTAGATTAATGTCAGTCATCTCAGGACCCAACTGAGACCCTGGATCATCACCTGCCTGAAAAGTTCTCCCGTCTTTACATGCTTGCTCCCTGCATGACTTACTTTCCATTAGATCAGTGTCACCAGAAGAACTCATGGAATAGCTTCAGTCAGTTCAGTCTTTCACTTTCTCCTTCTCTGGCCTCGCCCAAGCCCCCATTACCTCTCCAACCTAAACCCTGGGGTCTGAAACACCGCCTCCCCTTCCTTGGCTCTCTTAACACCCCTCGTCATCTCACTAAAGCCAATCACCCCATCCCTCCCAGCACCAGTACGCTGTCACTGGTGAGAATCTGTGTGGCTGACACCAATTCCCCCTCATCTGCTCCAACATGGTCTTCTGGTCCTGTCAACTCTCCAGCACTCCAGTTCTCCCTGTCCAAAGAGTGGACGGCACCTACAGGGTAACGCCAGATTCCTACACTGCCAACCAGAGAGTCCTTCCTATCCATCCTGTGGTGCTTAACCCCTACACCCTTTGTCTTCTATTCCCCAGCCCCGTCTACCACCTGTGACTCAGTCCTAGATTTGAAAGATGCCACCTTTGCTGTTCCCTTACACCCCTTCACATAAGCCTCTCCTCCCCTTGCTTCAAGCAGGCCCTCATCCCGATTCGCCCTCCTTCTGTCCATCAGTCTCCCACCTCATACCATATGTGAATGGCCTCCTTCTCTACCATCCTCTCACAGATCTTTCAGATGGGCCTTGTAGCTGCTTTTCCTAGCAGGACTGTGGTCTGTATAATCACCCTTCTCTTATTCGGGTCCAGTCTTTTCAGACTCCTGTTACTGTTCTGCATCCAGACAGTCCCTGATCAGCAGCCGTTGTCTTCTCCTTCCCTCCATACAAAACGGTTCCCCAAGGTTTCCCTTCCTGCTGGTTTGCCCACTTAGCACACATGCCACACAGCAAGCAGCCACAAGAGATGGCCTTATCCCATTTCTTTTTGTTTTACCTTTGTGTTAATAATCACAAAAAGACAGGAATGTCAGGCTCAATTCAGACATGACTCTCCCAATACCAGCCTGTCTGCTGGCAGAGGCACTGTACTCAGCTAAGCACCCTCAGCAAACACAGGGTGCCCTAAAAGAGGTAAGGTAAAGCACAGGGACATCGGAAGCCACCCAAACATTCACACTAGACACTTCAAGGACTCCGCCCACTGAGGCATGACACACCCAGAGGACTTTGACCACTGATGTTTACTGAGATCACCCTGCCTAATGCCCCTGGCCTTCTTTGGAGCCCCACAAGAAGGTCTTGCTTCTTTTTGCTCCCTACAAATGGGCTTTTTGCCCTCTGCTTACCCACACCCAGGCACAGTAAATTCCATGGCATGTTGCCTTTCCACAAGCCTGGGGGTCTTGCCTGGTCTCTTACATTTTTTTTTGTTTTATTGGTCTCCACTCTGTTCTTAATGTACATCACCAGTGTTTTCATCTGAGAACTCCTGTGCAGGTAGCTTACTCATCTCTGCCTGGCTCACTCCTAATTCCCGGTTCTGAGGAGGACTCACCCTGACCAACTTAAGAAGCATATTCCAGATGCTTCTAACCTTAGAAGCATATTCCAGAAGCTCACAGAATGGTGACTTTCATTTGAAAGTGCCCTTTGCAGAAGTCAGGCTGCAGGAAGTGAGGGTCTCCTAAGGGCACGGTGAGGAGCCATGATAAATGTGGGGACTCAGCCTTTCACACACAGCTCTCCCCATGCCGCTTTCTGTCCATGCCAGGCCAGCGCTAGTGTTCATTTGATGGGAACTCACCTGTGTACCAGTGTCAGGCTTCTCATCAGGCCAGAGACAGGACTGAGGCTGCCTCTAAAGCCCGTTACATAAAGGGACAACCAACAGTGAAGACAGAACCCGCTGAGTGGGAGAAAATGTTTGCTTAGCTCCTCTTCTGACAGAGGATCCACATCTAGAGTATCTGAAGGACTTTATAGTTAAACAAATAAAACAAAGAATTCAATAAAAAAGTCAAGCAAATGATCCAAATACCACTTGAAAGAGGTTGTTTGACCCAAAGAATATGAAAAAACTGTTTGGCATTTCTGGCTGTCAGAGAAATTCAAACTAAAACCGCATTGAGATTCTGTTTCACCACAATCAGGATGGCTGTTATCAAAAGTACAAAAACCCCTGAATGCTGGTAAGAAAGTGTGAAACATTACTCAGCTATAAAAAGAGTGGAATTTTCTCATTTGTAGGAAATCTGATGAAACTAGAAACCATCTTATTAGGTGAAATTAGCCAGACACAGAAAGTTAAATATTCTGTAGTTTCTCTTATATTTAAAGCTGCATCCTTCTACCCACCCACCCATCCACCCACCCACCAATCCATCCATATATATTTAAAAGGGAGAGGATAGGAAACCTAGAGATGGACTTCTGGAGATGGAAAAAGCATCAAACAGACTGTTAGAAGAAATGGCAGGATGAGATTGGACCTGCTAAGATTTGTGAAATGCATGTACCAACTTCACAAAACGAACCCATCACCACGACAGGGGCGTGCTCTAACATGGTGTTTGCAGATGTAAGCTCAAGTTAGAGATAATGGTGCTCCCACAATATCAGCATTACTGAAAACTCCTGACTGACACAGTCTTCTGTGACCTCTTGGATTCTTGCTGAAGTTTAAAATAAAATGAACTCACGGTGAATTCAGATGCAGACTAATTATTAGTACCTCAGAGGGACACAGTTTCCAGAGCAGTGTTCAGAGCTTTTTGATAATCAAGGGATGTACTCTTCCCCTTTAATTTACAGGTAGTAAGAGCCCTGCAAGGCAAAGACTGTATCTGGAAGCACATAGACTCACCCCAAGTATCTTGATGGCTCGTTTGGAGATTTTTGGTGCTGTCCCTGTTATTGCATTTGTCACCTTCACATTTTCAGGGCCCAGCTGACTGCTAGGAAAGACTTCTGGAGATGTCACAAAAACTTCAGCAGCCTGTCCTGGGTTTGTAAATTCCACAGGTTGCTGAACCTCAGGAAACAGGGAGCTGATTGGCTGGTAAGCATTTGGTATTTCAGGCACTGGAAGGGTTGACGGCTGGAGCATCTTTAGGACCTAAGTAGTAAAAAGAAAAGTGACACATTTACAAAAAAAAAAAAAAAAAAAAAAAGAAATCTGAAAACATCGTGTGAAATGTCAATCTTTTAGGCAGTTGGAAAAAGGGAGGTAAGCAGGTGATGGGCTGTGACAACCTGGATAAACGAGATTCTCATCTGATTGTGGAATCCTGTGTGTCCTGTGGTTGGAATGCAGCAAGGAGGGGAAGCGGGAAGTGCCTTTCCTCTATTCTTCCTGTTGGGTTTTGTAGTCTGTGTGTGCGTGCATGTTAGCTGTATTGTTTCTGAAGGACAACAGGAAGGGGAAAGTGATTGTGGGAGACAAAAGAATGCTTCCTTTCAAGGAGCTGCAGGCCCAAACCCAAGCACCTGTGCATGTGTTGGGCTCTTTGCCACAGGAAATTCAGGTTGCAAGGTGGAATGAAGGCTGCCAATACGCTGACCTTGGAACTGACTTATTGGTTAGACCTGGTGAAATCACAGGACCCTTCAAAGTGGAGGAGAAGAGCCCAGGAGCATCAGAGAAAGAGAGGTTCTGACACAGTGAGGATGGTGGCCTGCGGAGTCTGAAGAGGGAAGGAGCAAGGGCCTGTGCACCCAGGATTACGGATACCCTGGAGAAGCTGGAGGAAACACAGACCTGGAAATTTCTGCTGGCCTCACAAGGCAAGGCGTCTCTGCCTGCTCTGCAGTGTCAGCCCAGTGACCCACGGGATCGCCCAACACACGCAGTGTTATGTTGTTCTTAAGCTGCACAGTCTGCCGTGTCTGTTGGTGTTACACATAGAAAGCTGCGCAGGGGCTTCTAAGGCGACTGTATGGCAGAGGGCCTTCTAAGACTGCACTTGTTTACCAGTGATGGGACAAGTGGACCATTCACACACGGTCCCTCACATCAATTGCCTCTGCTTTTAGAACTGACTTAAGATTTCTCATGCATTTCTGTCTTATTTTGGAAATAAACCAACACCAGAAGACATGGGTACCAATCACTGGTGTTCCTGGGAAAATCACGAAGCACCCCAAATTTTTTCTTCACTATCCTCAGATCCTTTTTGGGACTTTCTGTGCTGTTTTCTTTCTTTCTTTCTTTCTTTCTTTCTTTCTTTCTTTCTTTCTTTTTTTTTTTGAGAAAAATGCAAAATGGAAAAAAGAGTAGAAATAATACAGAATTTCAAAAAAATAACAGTAAGAAATCACTAGTTGATAAATTACATATTATTATCTTAGAAATAGTTGCTCAAGTTACAAAATCAAAGCTTAAAAGATGAACAGATAATCAAACAATGACAGCACAAACTATTCTGTTTGATGAACTAACAGAATTAATAGTATCTATTTTGTACACTTAAACATATATACAGTTATGTGTGTGTACCTACAAGCTGTTCTTTACTTTTGAGTACTTTCTTTCCCTTTCATTATTACAATATCTGTTATACATTTGTTAAATTTTATTTAAAAGGAAAAGGAGAAAAAACAAAACAAAGCAAAACAGTATAATTGTACAAGTAATACAGAACTACAAAAAAAACAGTAAGAAATCCCCATTTAATAGATTACACATTATCATCTTTGAGATAATTGTTCAAGTAACAGGATTAAAGCATACCAAGTGGACATTCAAACAGTGACACTGCAAACAGTTGTGTTCAATGATCCAATCAAAAACATTAATATGGTCGTCTATTTAACACACCTAAACACACTTGCAATTGTGTCCTTTAGAGCACTTTCTTTCCCTCACTTCTTTTTTTATTTAAAGAGAGAACAAAAAAAAAAGGACATAAAAAAACCATGCAGTAAAAGGGTACAAATAATACAGTATTTCTAGAAAAAAATACATACAGTAAGAAATCACCAGTTAACAGGCTACACATTATCTTCCCAAAACAGTTGTCCGTATCACTAAATTAAAGTATATAAAGTGAACATTCATACAGTGGAATTGGAGATAGTTCCGTTCAATGATCCAAAAAGAGCTCAGTTATATGGTTTTCCGTCCTACACTCTCGAACATACCTGTGGTTATATCCCTTAGTCCACCTTACTTTCCTCTCTTTTTTACAGTAACAATTAGACTTTTAGGGTTTTATTACTCTCACGGTTCTTATTACTTTTTTGAAGAGAATAAAAACAAATGTGACTAAGCAAAACAGAGTCAGTTAGAACAGAAGGGTAGACATAGCACGTGATGCAAAAATAGAATAGCAGGTGATCAAAAGTGGTTACCATTGTGCCTCTTGCTATTTTCAAATTGAGTTGTCTTTATCATCAGGTATAATAGAATTGATAAAAACAATATGGAACAAAACCAATAAAAGCTACACTGAGGACCTTATAGGACTTCAAAAAAAAAAAAAAAGGATGATAGTCAATCCATAGTGGGCATCATAGTATATCATATTGCCTTCAAAGTGATTGCCTATACCCTCAAACTTGATACTATCAAACAAAATAGAATATATAATAATCAGACAGAACAAGATGGGGAGAGCAATACTGGGGTTCAAGTCAAGTTAATAGGACAACAAAAAAGTTTCTATAATATGTCCCGTTATTCTTTAATTTAGTTTTCCCTTAATTAAAAAATGAGAGAAAATAGATTAATTTAAAAATAGGGGGAAGATTGAGATAAGAGAGGACATTGTAATAGAACAATGCAGGGCAGAACTGAGCAATTCAAGCATCATTGTGTTTCACCACCAGATAATCTAACGTAATAGTAGTCACCATAGTGCCTCTTTCTTTGAATTATTTGAGTGTAACTTCACATGCTATAATATCAAGCATATCTAGATAGTATGAAGCCTTTCAAGAGAATGCAAGAATTACAGGGTATTTAGAACCTGCTAATAGAAAACAAAGAATGGTTTCTATTATCTCTTTGCCTATAAAGAATTTTGTTTATACTAGAGCTTATAGTGAAATATAGTAAGACACAACATGTTAAAACCAGTGGAAACATGTACTACAGCTTGATGAGACTTTAAAACAAGACGATATTAAATCAGCACTAGCTTTTATGTTGTGTTGCTTTCTTCAAATTAGCTATTCGTGCTATCATAGATACTAAAATCGAACAACCCAGGTTAAAACCATTGTGGTTAATGAGTGAAAACATATGGCTTCAAACCAATATGATTGGGAATCATGATTACCATATACTTCTATGTATTCTTATCATTTCTTACAGTAGGGAAACTGTTCGGTACTTACACATCTGAGTTTGATTTATTTCACATGTGAGTATGGTCTCAAGCTGCATCCATTTATTTATAAATGTCTCAATGCGGTCATTTTTTATTGAGAAAATTAGACTCAATGAGTAGTACTCCATTGTATAAAAATACCACAACTTTTTTATCCATTCTTCAGTCGATGGACACTTAGGTTGTTTCCAAGATCTGGCTATTAGAAATTGTGCTGCTATAAACCTGAGTGCACATATATCACTGTGGTATGATGCTTTCAGTTCTTCTGGGAATATGCCTAGAAATGCTATAGCTGGGTGAGATGGGGCTTCCAGTCCTAGTTTTCTGCGAAATCTCCAGACTGACCTCCACAATGGTTGCACTAGTCTACACTCCCACCAACAGTGCAGTAGAGTTCCTTTTTCCCCACAGCCTCTCCAGCATTTGTTGTTGTTGGTTTTCTTGATCTTGGCCATTCTTTCAGGAGTGAGATGAAATCTCATTGTGGTTTTAATTTGCATTTCTCTAATGACCAATGATGATGAACGTTTTTTCGTATATTTATTTGCCATTTGTATTTCTTCATCTGAGAATTGTTTATTCATCTCAGATGCCCATTTTTCGATTGGGTTTTTGAATTTTGGGGGTCTGATTTTTTTAATTCTTTGTATGTTTTAGATAGAAGTCCTTTGTCTGAGGGGCAGTTCATTAAGATCTTTTCCCAGTTTGTGGGTTTTCTTCTCACCACGCTGGAGACTTCTTTTGACACGCAGAAACTTTTTATTAAGAGGTGATCCCAGTTATTGATTCTGAGAAGTATTTCCCGTGCGGTTTGAGTCCTGTTCATGAATTCTCTATCTACTCCTATATCTTCAAGGTTTTTACCCAATTTGTCTTCCAATAGAATTAGTGTTTCTGTTTTAATATTTAGATTTTTGATCCATTTAGATTTTATTTTAGTACATGGTGTTAGGCATGGGACTAGTTTTAATTTTCGACATATGGAGAGCCAGTTTTTCCAGCACCATTTATTAAAGAGACAGTCGTTATCCCAGTGAACATGTTTGGCCCCTTTATCAAAGACAAGGTGGTTGAGTGTGTTTGCAGTTGTGGTTGTATCTTCTAATCTATTCCACTGATCTTCAGCTCTGTTTTGGTTCCAGTACCATGTTGATTTTACTACTGTTGTTTTGTAGTATAATTTCAAGTCAGGGATACCTCCTGCCTTGCCTTTGCTGCTTAGAACTTCCTTGCTATTCTAGGTCTCTTCTCACTCCAGATGAATTTTAGGAGTGATTTCTCGAGTTCTATGAGGTATGTTGATTTTATTTTTATCGGGATTGCATTGAATCTGTATAACAGTTTTGGGAGAATGGCCATTTTCACAATATTTATTCTTCCTATCCATGAGCAAGGGATGTCTTTCCATTTTCTGAGATCATCTTCAACTTAATTTTTCAGTGTAATATAATTTTCCCTGTACAGCTCTTTCACTTCTTTCGTGAGAGTAATTCCTTGATATTTCATTTTTTTGCTTGCTAGTGTGAAGGGTGTGGTTTCTATTATTTCTCTTTCTGTGACTTTGTTGTTAGTGTATAGGAATGCTATTGATTTTTGAGTATTGATTTTATAGCCAGCTACATTACTAAAAATATTTATTATATCTAGCAGTCTTTCAATGGGTTTGGGGATCTTCTATATAGAGTATCATGTCATCTGCAAATAATGATAGCTTAACTTCTTCTTTTCCTATCTTTACCCCTTTTATTTGTCTCTCTTGTCTAATTGCTCTGGCTAGTATTTC